ATATGAATATATATATATATATATATATACGTGTGCTTTTTAATAATAATAATAATAATAATAATAAATAGCGATAAGATTGGGTATTTGGTTGCTTTGACTTTAGAATGCAATTTATAAAGGAATAACTGCTGGAATGAGTTACTGATGGAACAGCGTCTTTTTTTTTTGCATTGTTAATGAAGTATATTTTGTGCGACAAAAAATGCTACTGATACATCTATAGACACCATATGCTATCTGTCACCCCACAATTACTGCTAAATAAGCTGATAAGGGGAATCCTTTTAATCATAACAATTAGTAATTCTATATAATGACATTTTGTTGAATGGGTTGTTGCCAATTTTCAACATTGTCTTTATTCCTTAAATTTATCCATAGGAAGGTAAGAATCATCGCGAATCACTCCGGATGATAAGCCGTGAACGTGCACTGTGAGGTCGTGAGCGATCTGCATGTTTAGTCTGGAATCCTGTTGGTAAGCCGGGTGATTAAGAACAATTTTTCTCAAGTACTGGGCTGCAGTCGGAATGGCACCTGCCGCGCGCATGGAAAGAAATCTCAAATAAGATTCCAACTGTGTGCATGATAAGTTTTCCTCCTGAATGTATCGTCGCACCAAGGGTATCAGACCATAGTACGTATCGCCCTTGCCATTGAAAATCTCGTGGATGGTGAGTTTGGTGGTCTCGGCATCGCGGCTGGTGAAGGTATCACCGAATATTTCTTTTCGCATCACGTACATCTGATCGCATGGGTTGATGTGGTGGGCACGGCCCATGTTCTCATCGACAATGGACATTTTAGTGTAAAAAACGGGGTTATACTTGATGATGGCATTCGTCAAAAGCGGTATAAAGGTGGCGAAAGCGGCATTCTCAAACGGTGTCGGGAGGATATCCATAACGCGGAACTCCAAACGCCAACCAATATTACTGTTGTACGGTGGTGGCTTTAATCGAACAGTTTGCCAGTTCGTGGACTGAATGTTCTCAAAGTGCTCAGTATGTGTGTTGTCGTCAATGTCGATCATTTGATCATACATCACAAGCGGATCGCGAATGAACAGGTGTGCAATATGCTTCGCCAATCGATCATCGACACCGGACTTACTCAAAATATCAAAGTATGGCTGATTATATTCCACTAAGGAATCGTTGAATTCCTCAAGGTTATCGACATCGGTGCTGACAAAAAGAGAAATGGAATCGTATCGAGACTTCAGGATGCGCGGGACCTCTTCGCGCTTGCGGTCATCGACGGAGGCCGCAATAGTCAGCCATCGGACGTCCGAATCGCATAAAAGCCCCTTCTGAAAAGGCGTCGCGGAGCTGAGGGCCAAAAACATCGGGCAGAGAATCGCGAGTTGGTCATACAAGTGCCGAGCCTGTCGAATATTGCGGAGCTGCATGGTGACCTGGAGGCAGCAACTTCCCATCCCAAAAGCCATGCAGTCCATGTAAATGCAGGGATGAGAAATACAGGGAATTAGACAGGGGCAGGAATTAAATCGCCTCCTGACGTTCTCACGCTGCCCCTTCGTGTAGTACTGGGCGTAGTAGTAAAGCGTCGCGGGAGTGTACAAATGCGTAAGATCGTCCGTGGCGTAGCCTTCTTTTTCTTTGATGTTGATAAAATCGGACGGTTCCGGCGAACCCCAAACTGCTGTCGTGGTTTCACTGGCTGTGGTATTCGGCATGTTGTCGGGGATGCATTGATTACAGCAGTCATTTCCATTCCGGATGCACGGGAAAATCAAATGGTTCAAAGGCGTGTAGTCAAATCCAAAGCGCCCGTCCAGGGTCTTTTCAAGCGTATACTTGTCAATGTAAAGCGGGACCTGAATACAGACTTTCCGCCCACGGCGAAGACGAATGTTTTCGGTAAGGTTGGCGAAGCGTGGGTGGTCGGAGTTAATACAAATATCTGGCACAAAAAGGGAGTTCGAATGTGGGGATTCCGTACTGTCGGATGTCGTGAATTTGTTAACCCCAAATAAAGGGAAGGTCACGAGGGTCGTCCCAAAGGTCCCAGGGCCTGCTTCTTTGTCAATAAGGTCATATCGATTCTGCATGTTCTCCTGGACGGCACACAGGCTTGCCCTCGACATGGTGTAAGGGGACTTGGGGATGCTCTCCAACATATAACTCCCATATTCGGGGTTCCAATTCGCATTATTCTCCTCACGTTTTCTTATCCTATCCATAGTTTCCGATGCATCAAGCTTTAGAAAGACCTCTCCATTTTCAGTGTAGATAATTTGATGTTCGATTTCCTCACCCCACAAAAATGGCATCTTGTCTATGTCCTTTTTGTTCCGGTAAACGACAAGAAACTGTTGAATGCCGTGCGCACTGACGTGAGGGACCGCCCTGTTGTTGCTGTCCGTCCCCCAACGCATGGGCTTCCCTCCAGTCGTGAGCAACCCCATCGTGAATCGGCCTCAATAGAACTTAGGAGAGAGAATAAAAAGACTCCACGGTGATGAAATAAAAATATAAAAAAGCAAGTTCTGATATTCGAATTTACCTTATTCGAACTAGATGGGTTGTAACACATCAGATTTTGAAACAAAGAAAGCGCAAGCGTTTCGAATAATCAAATCCAGCAGGTCCACTTTTCCCCCCAATACATCATCAATATATATATATATAGTTTCGTCTTTGTCAAGAGATTGAAAAACAAGGCTATGCAAACCCCATAATTTCCTGATCATTACTTAAAATACGTCTTTTGAGAGAGAATAAGGATACTTTAACCTTGGATACAATCATTATAAAATCAAAAAGCAGGTTATATATGCCTAAACCTAGTCTCCGCTTATCTATGGCTTGAATATCACTCTCATATAATTCATTCAGAGGGGATGACTTATTCCATAATAATGATCACGTTAAAAACTTTTTATTTATAATGAATTTGTGCCTATAGATGCATTAACCAGGTTGTAAGTAGTTTTAAACCATGTATTCACACAAGGCTATGTGGAAGACAAGTGAGCCAAGTTAATTTCGGAGAATCCATTTTTTTTGTGTGGGGGGGAGGAAGCAAAAAGTGTAATGAATGTAAGCACTTTTGTTATGAGTTCAGACATTTTTCATTCAGTTCATCAATAAAAATAAGATATTAGTCGTGTATTAGATCGAAAGTAAAAAAAGCTTTGTATGTATTATCACTCTGCTTTTTGATAGGCCTAAATGCCCTCAAATGTTCTCATTTGTAAGATATCATCTATGATAGCAGATATGTGTTATTCCTTAAGAAAATGAAAGAAAATTACTGACACCTTCCTTCATACAGTAAATACTAGCTCAAAACAATTGAGCAGTTTTTTTTGTTATGAGGCCTTCCCATTGTGCACACTTCTGTTGTCCGATAAAAGCCACAGTAATATCCTCATTATTGATCGCCTACAAATTTAGATTGCGAAACTTTTATCCAAGTTTGGCATGTGAACGAACACCAAGGAGTGAATTCTGTACCTCTTCTAGTGTACGAGGACTCTTTAACTTCACAAAGTCTTTCCATCACTTGAGATCGAGAAACAAACAAACAAAAAGTCAAGTTCATGGATCCTAAAGGGCATGGAAATCAATTGCAGTTTTAGCCTCTCTGGGGTTCTACAAAAGGATAACATCAGGGGTCAATACAGTGTGTGAACATACCCTTCGTCGCGTTTCACCCCCTTGGCAGGCAGTGTATGTTTCCTGTAGTTGGATAACACCACCCACGACTTGGAAAGCTGTTCAAGGGGATTAGTATTTGCTAGCTTTATGACGAAATGTGAACCGTCTTTAAAGCAATACCCCCCCCCCTCCCCAATTCATCCTTGCGCAACCTCTGATCGATTGTTACAATTGCAACAAAACAGGGGTGCCTGCACTTCTGTTTGTTGAGATGGGCCGTAACACATCACCCCTTCCCAGAATTGGGCCGCTAAAAAAGGTCATGGCAAATCCCTTGTTACATTTGAAATATTGAAGATAG